TGTGACATAACACCCAAAAGGAGGTTACGTACTCCATGATAAAAACATTGGCGTTTCGTCTTAAACACTCTAAGTGAGACTTAAGTCCGTGATTTGATATCCCTAATGGAGCGAAGGGCGTCCCCAACCTTTTCACATGAGAGTGCCCCTCCTGGGAGACATGCTATTGAATGTATTCACGAGGCAAACAGATCTTTGCTGTTATGTACAGCACTCCATACAGTTTCAGCATAATAAATGGCTCTCGTTTCCAGTGTTTATCTTTGGCCCCTAGACCCACTCCACTAGTCAAGTCTAACACCAGAGCTGGGTTTTTCAAAAGGTCGGTTAGCGCTAACCCAGTATTAAAAGTTAACTGAAGTATTAATTTTTCTTGTATACAATTGGTTTTCACTGCTCGTGTTTTGTGGAGTTTGAGATTATTCAGACTCAAAACAGCGGAGAAACAATTTAAAGTGATAAACTTGCCGGAAAACTGACATCAAAATCCTTGCTAATCCTACGTTACAAATGTAGCTTGATCTGGCTTTAAACAACCTGGCCCAGGTGTACTCTATCATTGTAGGTTGAATTGTTTTCTGTTGGAGTAGCTGTCAACGCGGGAAAAACCAAAAATTCAATTGCGTTGTTTGTTTAAACTCGATCAATGCTTCTCGAATCTTAGAAACATCTGTAGATGTTGTAAATAATGAAATGGAAAAGTTTCAGATTAAAAAAAAGGGTGATCGAATGTAAAATCGTCCATATATAATGGTGAAAAGGAAAGGTGAATAACAGCCCTGAACAATGCATTTAAAGCTGTTTCAGATCATCTCTACAATGTTCGCACGGGTATCAACAATGGACTATTCAATTTGTTAACGAGGGATGCACACAAGATTACCGGTTTTGAAATTAAAAAAACTGGACTTCTGGCAGGCTTTGGCTTCGCCAAATGTTTTTTGATACAAATATATGAAACGCGTGTGAAACGTTTCAAAACGGTTTTCTGTTTTATTCTCTAACAAAACAACTTTACATTGAATCAGAGCGGGAGTAGAATCTAAAGTCAGCTGTTATTACATACACCAACTTATAAAGAAATACATCATTTATTTACTTGATAGTTTTGGGCATGAAAAGGTGCAGAGTATTTTAATAAGAGATTGGTGATACTTCAATTTTGTTTAGAGCGATGTTCTTCCCAGCGGTCAGGCCAATACTGACATCGGCATCTGTCGGTGAAGTCGGATCGGCTCGGCTTTCCGTCGCAGACACATCGTGTATTCGTGTCTCTATTTCCACACACCACAGCAAGGTTCTCGACTGGCTTACAAATTGAACTTTCCTCAGAACGGGGCACGTCTATAATCCTGAGATTATCTTGATGGTAAGGTGGCTTACATTGTCTAATTGCACATGCGCGGGCCCAGATAGGTAGCAGAGGACCCGTTTTGCAGTCGATTTCGCAATGTGCAACTTTAGGATTAATAAGATCGCCCTTTTTACAAGTCCAGGGTCGTACTGGATCACATTGTACTCCATCGTCTATTCGACAATGGGCCATGCTATTTAACACTTCAACCATGTGCTCGACTGTGCTTTTGAACTTAGCTTCGTACGCTGCATCGAGGAGGCACTTTCGAAATTCCACGTTGCAATAACAAGGCCTGTAACTAAATATGGTGCCCTTCTTTGGAATGCTTTCGCCTCCTGCGCACGTCAGCATTCGATAGCAGCACAAGTCTAACTCGTTCTTAGGCTCCACTCCGCCCATCCTGGTGAACGTTTCTCTCGAGATATCACAGTAATGAGTGACTCTCGTCAAATATTTTACAGTGCCCGCCGGAATGCAGGCAAAGCCATCACCTTTTTGTTCATTCCCAATCATCCATCCGACATTAGTGTCGTACAGCTCGATGCACACGTTTCCCTTTTCTGAGCAAAGTCCTGGATTGGCTCTGCACTGGTTTATTCCGGGCCTGCAGGATTTGTCTTTAGCGGAGCACTCACAGCGCAGCTCAGATCCCCACATTTTGCAGTCTCCGTGGTGGGCACAGACTTTCGGGATACGGCAGAGATTCACGAAATATTGACATCTGTCGACATACAGTGTAGGAAACGGATTGAGCACAACTTGAAATGAACCAATTAATACCTTCCCGACTCATGCATAGAGGAAACAACATTTTGTTATAGTTTATGTTGCTCAAATAATGCTGATAGTTTGAAATTAATTGTAAAAATTTCACTCCCTTAAAAGGCTAAGAAACTACTTGCGAATTTTGACAAAACGCGCTTGAAATTATTTACCTAAGCTTGTTTCATTTGTCACCATTTGATTACACATTCTAAGTGGAATGATCTAACATGTCATCTGTTACATTTTTATCCCCAAGTTCAAATATATATTTCGTATATCGCGCCTTGAATCCGGAATTGGAGTGAATAAAAGGCAGAATTGCAAGCTTAAAAGAAAAACCATGGTTTCGTTTTTTAACATTGATTGTTCAAAGCGTCTTGGCTTTGTCCGCCCCGGGCTTTTTAGGGCTCATAAACAGTGGACATAGTAAAGAGTCTCTTTAATTTGGGAAATGCTCTCTCTCTCTCTTACCACTCCTCTGTTAACTACCTACCTACACTTATGCTTCAACCATTGCGTTGCGTATTCATTTTTGTCCGCAGGGGCATCACACACACAGCGGGTTCCGTGTTCCCCACAGACGAAGCTTCCATACCGACTAAGGTCAGTCGGGACACACCGGGGCTCCCCGTAGCTCGGGCCAACATTCCGCCTGTGGAATATATCGGGACCTGGAATAGCAGGAAAACACCTGTAGCCATGACTTACTTGGACTTTGTCATCCACCAAAGAGTGAAAGATGTTTCCGCTGAATTCTAAATGACAGTCTGCCACTCTTGGATCGATTAGATCGCCAGTTTCGCAGCTTTTTGACCTCAGAGGGTTGCAACTTTCCTTCAGGGGCAATATGAATTGGTTTTTCATCGCAACGCACTGGATGAGGCTAGGCTTTTTATCGCACACGCTTGAGGATGAGATAAGCAATGGAAAAACAGAGAAAATAGAAATGAGCTGAAGTACAGTTTGCATGCCTTCCTTTTACAATGGCAAACCAAGTCAGAACGTCATCAAACGGATACTGCGCGTGCTCTTACAAGAGTTTCGCGCGCGTGTGAGAAATATCTGTGGGAACAGTTCTTCCCTTTACCGCTCAATGATATATAAAATGTGTAAAATTTAAGCAAGCCTTGCATATGTAAAACAGCCTATTGTAGCCGGACATATAAGTAAAAACAAACAAACAAACAAACAAACAAACAAATAAAAACAAGCAAACGAAATAATTGCCAGGTTGGGATTCCCTTTAAACAGTAACAACATCAAATCTCAGTAGCGAAAATTAACCTTAAAAAGTTGGGATTTCCATTTTAACTGACAGACCAGAAAATTCAAACACTGACCAATTGCAGGCCAATCGCGAGACTTCAAACAGTTCAGCAAGTTACTCTGCCCCTTCCCCCCGGGGGTTGGTACTCCCTTATTAGGGCTATACGGGGACGTGCCGCTGGACCGTTGGGGTATGGTTTTTGGCCTCGTTGTCCTCAACAGGGTATACAATTTTACCCGCCTCTGTCCTAAACAGGGTATGCTATTACGAGCCGAGAGACGTTAACCGCGACCGGCCATTATTATATAACAAGGTCATCAATCAACATCAGATCATTTTCTGGACAAGACTGTTACTGTTATCGGTATCCTTTAATTTAAATAACTTAGAGCTTAATGTTTGATGGCCTTTTGTTTTGTTCAAGTGTGAAGAAGTAATAACTGTTTTTTAGACGCTACAAACTGGAATGGCTTATTAAAGAGTTTAAATTCCTGTAAAACGAGAGAGTGTGTATTTTGTTTCTTGTCCTAAACGGGGTCTTAACATAGAAGGTGTTGTCCTACACAGGGTGGGGTTTTTGTCCTTAACAGGATCAGGATTTCAAACCCTCGGCGGCACTCCTATACCCAAACATGGGTCGAGTAGCCTTCGGGGCCCCTCCCTCCAGGGGTACGGTCACTTCACGAATCTCATGAAAAAGACCAATTAAATATTTCATATAAACTCTTGGTCTTCGGCTATCGTAGCTTGATTAAAAATATAAAACAGATCAATTTCAATATATTAAAATTCAGCCTCAATAGACAATAATAGACCTCAGCACGAGGCTCCGGGGAATAATTACAGAGTTTGAGGGGTTTATTCCGCTGAGCCTCGTGCTGAGGTCTATTGTTTTAGGCTGAATTTTAATATATCAAAATTGGGCTATTGATAAGCTATAAAGAACTAAAGTTACAAACAAAAAACAGATATTGAGATTTTATTATTGGTTAATCTACTCAACCTACGTCTCACTCCTTTTAACAGAAAACACAGGGTTTTGTGAAGGGTTTGTGCTCAACTCTCTCCAGCTCTGTCCTATGTCGCTATTCCAACAGGCCGAGCTGGATTGAAGGAGACTGGATATGAATGTCAAAAGTACGCATGTACAAGTTTCCCACGTGATGCCGGTAAGAGAAATATCCGAGAGATTTACGACGATTTTGTAAAGTTATTATGGCTTCTGGCGATGAGTTACCAGCCAAAGATCAAAAAGAACAAAGTAAAGAAGAGGTAAGATGTTAAAAGGATTATTCAAATTTATTGTATTTTAATTTGAGCGGATTTCGCGGTTTTATTCTCCGAAAAATCAATGAAAAAGGGCTTGGAATACTGAGTGCATGTCATATGTTAACAGAGCAATTCAGAGCCGTATTCCTTTAATTTCCTACAATGAAAACGTTTTATTTATGTAATACTGTCCACCGATGAAATGAAGTTTTGTTTGTCAACGATTTTGCCGAGTTGCAAGGAACTTTGTTTGTGCTTTCTTTAGATTTTACCGCGATTGTATTTTTTTATCAGTTCTTACAGACGCGATTACTAGTGGGAGTCATTAAGAACAGATGAACAAGTCTTCAACTTATTTTGTCAGAACTTTGTTCGCTTGAGTTATGTTATATCCGTTGGCTGAAATAACTAAAAGCGATTTTCCCACATGAGGTAGTGATGACTCTGATCGACGCAGGTCTTCATAAACTGTGTAAACTTGTGTCACGTTCATCAATGGCATGTACTTTTTTTTAGCAGTTTAACCTGATATTGTGTAACTTTAACTTGGTTGCATAATTGGAAAGTCGTTTTTTTTACACTGAACTAGTACACTCCCAGCGGAAATATACTAAGTGACCATTACAAAATTCAGATAGTTGTGTAGCAAAGGGATTTTTAACATTAGGGATTGTGTGATCTGTTTTGAAATTAACCTGTGTGAATTATTAGTACAGACGTGTAAATTGGTCCTGTTAGACACCACTATACAGTGTGTTTTATACACGGAATGGTTTCAATCAAATTATCAACTGCAATAACTGACTTGCACATGTTCCGTGAGAAAGCGAAAAAGGCACTTTATCCCCAATAGCTTTCATATGCATCCATCCATTAAACCATCTCTTTTCAAGTTTTATTGCCATAATGTAAAGATGACATTACACAAGGCAGAGCAGTGATGTAGTGGGTTTCTTTACAATGTTGCAGTAAAATTATAGTAATTCAAAACCTTCAACATTGTTGCCAACATTTTAGATGCAACACACTGTTGCCACAGCAACACTTGTCAGTCTGTGTTGGGCCAAGTAGTCCATGCTCTTGGGGCTGTTTTATTCAACAACAAACTCCAGTTTGTATTTCCGGAAATTCCCACTGGGGAATGGAATAACATTGTCCCCAATTTCTGGAAGAGAAGACATCTGGGCAGGCTGTGTGCAAATTTAGGATCATTTCTCATCAGGAATGGGTTTTCACACCAGACTTTCAGGAATTTTCAGTTGAATGGTTTGCATTTTGGAAATTTATCAATTTTCAGTTTTTCTGAAACTTTCCAAGAAAAATTGCCATATTTTTTGCCCCCACTTCAAAAGTTCCAGAATCTTTGGTTGAATGGAAAGCACCCTTGGAGCTTATATCAGTTTCTGTAGTATTCAACAAGTACTATATAGTGTCTCGACTGCCCCTGGTTGAGAAGTTAGTTCATCGCAGGGTTATACCCAACATTTAAATTAGTCTGTACCCTTTTAGATTGTCCTTGGTAGAGGGGGGCACTGCAAGAGTGATTTGTTCAAGAACACAGCACAATGCCATGGTGAGGGTTTGAACCCTTACCACTTGATTCGGTGTCCAGCATGCCAATAGGTCACCACATTTCCTGCTAAAATTAAGCTAACATTTGGGATTTTCACAACCTTTTTTGTTAATTGGTTAATAGCTATATCTTGATAGACTGGCCCGCCTAGACTAGCACTAGCTATCCACAGGCCAGTCCAACTGTAAAGTATAAATTAAGAAATAAAAATGATTGCTTGCTTGCTTGCTTGGTTGATTAAATGAGTCCAAAAAATTGTCAGCTACAAAAGCCATTTTATTAAGTCTCAGTAGTTCCTGATTTACTTCATTCTTATCAACAGTGGGCTTGATAACTTACCGATTTTGTAAGGTCAAACTTAACAATTGATTCATGCGTTACTGTGTGTATGCAGGAAATTTGCAGAACAAAAAAGAAGTGCAACAGTTGCTCCAGGCACAGCTGAGAGCAACTCTAGCTTCTTGAGTGTTCTCCAAATCTCCCAAGTGGATTGTAACTTGATGAGGCACTGCTATAAAAGCATGACATAGCATTGTCAAGCAAACATTGTCAATGAAAATAAGTTTCTCTTGCATTGCGAACCATACTTGGTTCACACCATGAGTGTTCATCATTGGATTATGATGCCAACTTCCCTATACTGTTTTTGATAGTGCTGCTTTACTAGCTATGTTGTGATATTTATTGATCCCTGTTTTGTTCTTCTTTTAGCTGGAAAAAGCTAAGGAAGGTCAGTCAACAGATGATGGTGCTGTAGCTTCAGCTGGACCCGGACCCTACATTAAGCATCCCTTACAGAATAAATGGTCTCTATGGTTCTTCAAAAATGACAAGGCAAAATCATGGAAAGATAATCTTCGTCTTGTGACTTCTTTTGATACTGTATCCTTTATGTTATACTATGCTAATGTACAATCTAATAAGAAAAAGTTTACGTATGTTTGCCGAGTTTAAAAAAAGCTATAATATTTTAAACAATAGACTCCATTTGGCATGAAAATATGCACCGATACTTGTCCACTGACATATTTATCTGTTCTGAGAAGTGACAGTTTTCTGAGAGTGTAGCTCGAGGAAAACTGTGAGCTTTGAGGAACATATCACTTCCAAGGACAAATATCTGAGCATATTTTCTTGCCAAATAAAGGCTATTGTGTTTAAAATATCCTTCAAATATTTTTTGCAACACATGCATTTTTGAAAATTGGGCAATGGCACTGAGATATTCCTCAGTTTTAGCTGGGGAATATTCAGAAGTGTTTAAAGGAATAATTGCAAGTGAGCGAAAATATTTGATGGATTATGAGTACAATGTAGGATTATCTGAAGCAGTGTTGTCATTCATTTTGGGAAAAGGAAATCAAAAGTCCACGATTTGATGCCGTTAACAAAATGCAGAGATGACAAATGATTACATGTTATTCTCCTTATCAGAGGTTTAAAGCTCAGTAGCCCTTGCATGAAACAACATGAAAAAGAAAACTTAAAATTCGTGCAGGATCCCTAACATGTGGAAGGGTGGGATCCAAGCACTCCATTTTTCAAAAACCTAAACACAAATGTTGATAGTGCAGAAAAATCTGCCAGTTATTACCAAATTAACTTGTTAACGTTTGGGAGAAACACTACCATATCAGTGACTAGTTGATGGCAAACCAATACTTCTGAGAAAATGGTTTGCTAAGGGTATCCACACATTCCCCAGCATAGACTTTGAATGAAAATGGTCAATAGTAGTGTACAGGTGTAGTTATTTGTACTCTGTATTCCTCTGTTTGTAAATTATCCACCTTGAATGATTTTGTAAATTGACCTTCACTTGCTCTACTACTGATAACAGGTTGAAGATTTTTGGGCGTAAGTATTCTTTTTTTTTTTTGTTTTAGTCACTGTTCATGTGTTATCATTACAATGTATATATGTAAAAGTTATTGTGTATATAAACATATCCATGTTATCTTTAATGTATGTTGTTCCTGCTCTCCTATTTTTTCTGATTTGAATGTCCTGAATTAAATATGAAAACCTAGGAACAAGTTTTGCCACAGTTGATAGCTGACCAAGGTTACTGATTGTAATGTCTTGTCTGTCAAATTTATTGCGAGACTGAAGTCACCTCATTGTCTACCAAATAATTGCCTTATATAGACATCACTGTGCATGTATCTGAAAGCTGCCACCTGACAGAGGAAGTGATCTTACTGTTTTGATTTTAATATGGACTGCTTCATGCTTGTACATGTATATTAAGGTTTAACTTTCTGTTATTTCAGGATATATAACCATATCCAAGCTGCCAGTAGATTACAGTCTGGATGTGACTATTCACTGTTCAAGGTATACTTTGCCCACTTTAAACAATATTGGTAGCAACAGCATTTAATTATTTTGAAAATTGAAGAACCATAGCCAGGACCATAGCCTTGAATTGTTATCTCAATTGACTGACAAGGGTTCTTTCTGTATTCACAAGATGCTACTGTAGAATCATGGCACACCACTTCAATAAATCATGGAGATAACAGTTCAAGGCTGCTCCCTGATCAGTACTCTATTCTTAAAAAAAAGAAAAATTACACGAAGTTTATTGACTGTTATATTTTTTTCCACTTTAAAACATTCTTTTTTATGGGACTCCCACCTATTTTTGTATAATTTATATTTGTAGTTGTCATTTTTTCCATTTTTATCTATGGAAGGCTGTAGTCTGATAGCTGAAAGCTCAAATGTTTTAACTTTATATAGCTAGTGAACATTTAAATTATGAAATTTTTAAAACATTTAATAATTATACTGATATCTAGAAATATATCTGGGACACAAGACCTATGTTGGGCTTTGTAGAATCAGCAAGTAGGTTTTATAATTTTGATGGCATCAAATGAAATAGCAAGTTTATTTCTCTCTCAAGTGTGTGTGATAAATTGTTCTATTTACAGGAAGGAATTCAGCCAATGTGGGAAGATGACAGAAATAGACAAGGCGGACGCTGGCTAGTTAACACACAGAAAAATTTTAGGCAACAAGAACTTGATAGATTATGGGTTGAGACTGTAAGTTTTCTCTTTTTTAAGAAATAAAACATAGTCTTAGTGTTTCTGTTTTAAAAGTTACAAATTGAAGTCCAATATTGGGAAAACTAGAAATGCTGTGGGAGCATGAGTAATTTTGGGAAAGTATCGAGAGGAAAAACAAATGTAAATCACTAATTTTTTCCAATTATCAAGACAAAATTCTCTATTTGCTTGTTCTACAGGTACATCTTTACAATACAACAGTACTATAACCCTTATTATTTCATCTCGCATTTAACACAGCAAGATTTCTAATATCTTTGAGAAATAAAATAATAACAATAATAAGATGAAGAACATGAAGAACATGAAGAAAAGAAAGAAAATGAAGAACATAATGATAAAGAAATGGAATTACAAAATGTATGATTTTGGGACAAGTTACATGTAAAACCAATTACAAATAAGTATACAAATGTATAATATATCTTATATTATTACAAAAGGCACAGCAGACATTATCAGGTAGTTCTGTGTAGTCCCATGTTTCTACAAAGTAACAGAAATATACCTTTTACATGTAGCATGTGTTTTCTTATTATCATAAGTCTTCTATTTATGCATGTATGCTATGTACATATACACTGTAATATTAATTACTTCTAATCAGTGTCTGGCATTGGTACTATTCAATGTTAAAGGTACATTTACCCTAATATGGTGGCTTAACAGGGCAATTTGTAATGTCAGCTCTCTCTCAGATCTCCTCGTTAGCATATAACTGTGTCAAAATGTACATGTGGCAAACTTATCAAGAGTCTACATTATAAACATCACTATCTCAATATTGACTGAGTTGAAGGGCTGGACAAGAAAATGTCAAGCGAAAATCCACAAATTATGTATGATGTTACTGCTCTCTCATGTGCACCACATGGCTTACTGAATAACTTAAGTGTGCAGCTGAAAACTGCTCTGTTTACTTACATGTATGTATGTATGTACATTGAACTCGGCAACTTTCAAACAGCCTAGCTCTGTGTTGGCTAGCTATCAAAGTTAAAACTAGACCAAGTTGAGTCAATGTTGTTGCAAGTTCTTTTCTTTGCAATTTACAACTGGTTAAATAAAAAAAATTACAATATTTGTTTGTAGCAGTTTTTTTTTTTTTCATCTTGATAAATGGAAAACGTGAAAATTATAATAGCACATGTAGTAGTAATTCCAACATCCCTATTTCCTTTGTCTTAGAAACTACACTAAAGCTCCCCTTAATTGAGATAAATTTATTCTTTGGTAGATGATGCTTCTCATTGGGGAAATGTTTGGTGATTTTTCTACAAGTGTATGTGGAGCAGTAGTTCAAATCCGTACTAAGGGAGACAAGCTGGCAATATGGACAAACAATGCGGCAGATAAAGAGGCCAATCTTAGTATAGGGTAGGTGTTGTCATTTATTTAGAACTATGTACAGAATGCCTTTTTATATTAATGATAACCGTAAAATCACTCAAGTGTGATAAAACGTGATATAATTTATCATTATTATGACATCTTGAAATAAACTAAAGAGGGCATAAGTTGCACTAATATGTAACTGGAAAAAGTTGTATTGTGTTAATTTAGCTAACCAAAACGCCTGTTTGGTGTGTTAACATCCAGGTGGTTTTAAATAGATATGCGTAGTTTCCCTTTCAAGAATGCTGTCAATAAGATTTGGCATGAATCACTCACTAGAATGTTAATAGTTTTCAAAAACTCGCCCTCAGGAGGAAGTTTCAGTGGGTCACTCTCTGTTTCCTTTAAGAAGTATTCTAAGCCTTGAATTTGGATCTTAGGGCAGATAATCAGAGATAAGAGTGCGGAGAAAACCATGTTTTGAGCTTGCCCTTTGGGCAAGTTCTAACTATGATGTACTGCCCCAAAAGTCATTCTCACTAACCCCCCCTTCCCCCCCCCAAAAACAGTAAAAAAACCTTGTTTTTCTATTAATTTCCATTTTCTTTAATAGTATTCACCCGAATTTTTCTTTTCTTTTAATTTTTACTCAGGTTGCAAAAA